GGGGCACCTGGCAAAAGCAAACACAGGTTCTTCTGGAGGGAAACTTCTCACAAATTCCCACCGATCAACTCCATGTTCCAAGTGGACAAACTACACGAAGAAAGAAGCCACAGTGAACCAAAGTCAGCAGGTGACAAACAGTGAAATCGCATCCTCGAAACCTCAGATAATGGAGTCATCAGGCACAGAATACAAATACATTAGTTTAAAATGTTTAAATAAAAAAGAGGACATTGAAAATATGAACCAGAAACAAGATACTCTTAAAAAGGACCTTATCGGGGGAAAAAAACGCAAATCGAGTAGATACATCCAACAGCCAATCAGACACACATGAAAAGAGAGTTCTGGGACGGGCGAGGAACCTACCGAGTGCATACAGAGAAGGAGAGGGCAGAAAGCAGAAAGGGTGTGGGAGGATCAGGATGTCGGGCCCCGCACAAGTCTGATCGAAGTCTCAGCAGAACACAAGGGTGGTGGCTGATCCTCAGGTGCGGAGAGCCTGACCATCCCAATACGGTGAATAAAAAGAGATCCACAGCCAGGCAATTGTGGTGAAACTGGAAAATGCCAGAGAGCTGGAGGTCCTCGACACTCGGAGTGAAGGGCAGAGGCCGCGCAGGAGCAGGAGCGGCAGGGCGGGCGGCGGTGCCCTCCAGAGCCCAGAGCAAGTTCCCATCCACTGGGAGGGGTGTGCCCGCTGGACTTCCACTCAGAAATGAAAGGAGACGTTTTCAGAAAAACAAAAGCAGCTGGAATCCACATCCAGCAGACCCTCGTTAAAAATGCCTCAAGAATGTGCTTCAGGAAAAAATAAACCAGAAGGAGGAACTGAGAAGCACAAAAGAATGTCAGCAAAAAAAAAGGTAAAACACGGGAAAACCTAGCAGACTGTTTAAAGCAATAATGAAATGGGGGGGAGGGGAGACTGAAAAACAAGGGGCAGCAAACACAGGGCGGCAGACAGCCCCGCTGATGGGTGATGGGAGTGATACCAAGTCCCGTGCAGAATAAACCACCCAATGAGAATAAGCGACCGTACCACGTCCTACGTGGAAGCATGTGGGCGCCCGTGATCCAGTGACTCCGGGAGGGGTGACCTGGCGCCTTCCCCGAAGTTTGTTCAGTGTGGTTTTGGCGTCTGTTAGCAGGTATGTGTTGTCCTTATGTTGTTTTCTGTGCTTCTGGTAGGTTTGACATTTCATTTTCCAACTGTTTAACCTGGACTCTCATCACAAGATGAAATGATTTAAAGCTGCTCAGAATCCCCCATCCTGTTTATTAATCCCTCAACCTGAAAAGAAAACAGAAAACAGACAAAAGCTAAAAGCAGAGTTTTCAAGGACATTTTCGGAACCCTAGCGCGTCATCTACTTTCTTCCTGAAGCCAAGCTGTAGGGCGCTGCAGTCGTGAAGCTAAAAGCTTGACAAAATTCCACACGGACCCGACATGTGAAGCCTTGGCAGGAAGTCGCCTGGTAGAAGGAAGCGGCAGGACTGGCTGCTGCTTTCACAATCAGTTCGGCTGTGTCCCCTTCAGAGCTTCTGCCGTCTGCACTGATTGAAGACCCAAATCACCCCAAGAATTCATGGAGAGAAGGAGGGACCACACACACACACACACCGTGGACGCAGAAGTCGGTGTGGAAACACTTTCCTCCTAGACTGAAACATCATTGTTTCCAATTGGAAATTGGTCATTTCTGTCGACAGGATGGTCTCAAGAAGAACATAGGTCCTGGGTCCAGCCTCCACCTCGCTCTTGAAAGTTAAGACAAGCTGGGCGATTTCACACAGCTGTGGGGAAGGGACAGTGGTCCTGGTGTCAGGTGTCAGGTGCTAAGACAGCTCAGTGTTTTCAGTAAACAACTGATCATTCCACGTTTTTGTCTTTGTGCTCACTCCAGGCACGTAGGCGCCAGCCCCTTGGAGGTTAGCCTGAGGTGCCCTCCTCTGGGCTCTTCAAAGGGAGGGTCTGCAGTGAGGATGGGCAGCTCCTGGAGGGTCTGCTGACGTGAACGCTGACCACTGCTCTGCGTGGCCGTGAACACCACTCGGTGATGTCGGCGACGCACTTGCCTCTTTTTGGCAAGCCGAACGTGAGCGTTGAATTTATGAAATTGTCTTTTGCCCTCCTCCTGGGCCTTGATGGGCTCTGGGACCTATGGACAAAACTTCGAGTTCTTGCCAAAGTTTCTTTCCCAAACCAGCGCTGACATTGCCCTGCCGGGGCTGAGGCTTCCCGGGTCACCAAGTGTCCTCGCACACTCTCCCTCCAAGCTTGCGTTTCCTGCTAGATTAGGCTCCTTTTCTCTGCTGGGAGTCATGGTATTTTCAGAATCCCGTGATGATCTGAGCGCTGTACACCCTTGAGATTTAAAATATCCCTACTGAACTGAGCGTTTTCTACTGAAGGAAAGGTCGAAACGGCCGGTGCTGAGATGAGCGAGGCTCCACGTGGGATGGCGTTGTCCGCCCACAGACGGAGCTCTGCCGTCAGGGGAAGCTCAGTGTCGTTTTGAACAGGTGACTCCACAGACCCTCTCCAGGCCCTCGAGCTTCCGGCGGTGGCTCCCCGTCTCGCTTCTCTGTGCCCTTCCACACACCACCACTCACGCCGTACCCAGAGGCTCACGTGAGGAGTAACTCCTGGAGGCAGCGGCTTCCAGGTGGACCAGAGCGTCCACTTGGTCTTCCGTGAAGCAGGATTACAGTGGAAACACCTGTGCACACGTCAGTTCCATGCTGATGGTCGCGGTTGGTCTCCACTGCTAATAGAACTTCCTGCCGAGATGGAAAATGTCCTCCCTCTGCTTTGTCCAGTGTGGCAGCCGCTGGCCACATGGGGCTTTGAGCATCTGAAATGTGACCAGTGCAACTGGGTAACTGGAGTTTAAATTTTAATTAATTTTAATAAACTTAAATAGCCACATTTGGCAAGAGGCATATTGGGCAGCCCAGGTACAGACTCCTTGAAATTTATAATGGGGCCTCGGTTTGCCTGTTGAGGTTTAACACGGAAAAAAGTCTCTTCTAAAATTGTATCAATGCATTAGTTTGCCAGGTCAGACTTCATCTAACCTTGATTACCTGAACTATTCGAGGGGCTGCACTAATTAATTTAATTTTGTCATTAAATATTAACTAGAAACTCATTTTTTTCCAGACTTTATGGTTTATATCTAAAATATATTATTAGGGGGCCAGCCAGTGGTGTAGTGGTTAAGTTCACACTCGGCTTCAGTGGCCCAGGGTTTACCGGTTTGGATCTCGGGCATGGACCTACACACCACTCATCAAGCCAAGCCGTGGCGGCATCCCACATACAAAATAGAGGAAGATTGGCACAGATGTTAGCTCAGGGACAGTCTTCCTCACACAAAAAAATACATATATATATTATTATTATTAGCCCACTATCGAGCCTTCAATACGAAGTGGTAATAAGTGGAGAGAAAACTTTCCTTGAAATGTGACACTTTGACTGGAAAGAACAAGGCGGGGGCCACACCCCACTGCACGGCCTCCCAGAACCCTGTGGAGCCGCAGGAGCCGGGGCCTGAGAGGACGGCCTGCCAGCACCCCCATCCTCAGTGGGGCTGCCTCTCCCACCACAGCCTGGACCCTGCATTTTGCCCCCTCTCTCCTGCCCTGTGGTCACATCGGGCGCCCACACTCAGCCCCACCCCTTCTCTGGAGGAGTTTGGACCAGGCTCCGGAGAGAAACCAGGAGAGGTGAGGCCCCCGCCCCCATACCCCTCCTCCTGGTGTCCAGTGCCGGGGAAAACCCAGCGAGATCACCACGTGTTTGCAAAATCAACCAGTCCCTGAGGTGTCTGGGGCTCTCTCATGGGAAGCACCCCCCTGGTTTCAGCATCAGGACAGTGATCAGACAGAGAAGCTGGGGACACCTTCGGGTCATCCCTCTCTCCGCTCCACTTTCATCAGGAAAGATGCAAACCAGGAAGCAGCCTGGAGGACTTACAACTAATGATGCATCTGTACGGGTGTCGCTGGGTTGCCATGACTAACACTGAAGTTACCCCTGGAGGCCCGTTCTGTTTGTGTGGGATTCCTTGTTATAATGGGCTCCCAGCGGTAATGTCACAATGATTATCACTAATCCCCTCCTGCTCCCGATGATTTCATGGAGTTCGGAAGTATCAAGCCGTGAAGCCTGCTGAACCAGGAAATGGTTTATTGCAGCACAACTGCTGGTTCTGGATTAGGAGAGCCCCTTCATCAAGTGTCTGCCCTGCGCCTGTCAAGTCATGTGGCTTTTTGCTGTACTCAGACGCCGTGTCCCGTGAGCCTGTCCAAAAACCCCCACCCTGGAGGGCTGAGTGCACTCCGACCCCACTGCTTTGGGACCCAGACTGGAGCCTGCTTTGAATGGGGACCAGCCTTTTCTTCCCTCCCTCCCTCCTTCATTCCTTTCCTCCCTCCTTACTTACCATCTTCCTTCCTTCCTTCCCTCCTCCTTCCTTCCCTCCCTCCCCTCCCTCCTTCCCCCTTCCCTCCTTCCTTCCCTCCCTCCTTCCTTCCCTTCCTCCCTCCTTCCCCCCTCCTTCTCTCCTTCCTTCCCTCCTTCCTTCCCTCCCTTCCTTCCTTCCCTCCCTCCTTCCTTCCCTTCCTCCCTCCTTCTCCCCTCCTTCCCTCCTTCCTTCCCTCCCTCATTCCCTCCTTCCTTCCTTCCCTCCTTTCTTCCTTCACTTTCCCTGAGGGTGGCAGGTCCTGTTTCTTCCAGACAGATTTGCTTTACAGAAACCATCCAAAGTCATTCACAATGAATTATAAGGAAAAAGGTGGTGTTTAAAGAGGCAAATATAACTTTCGGTTCAGAAGGGAGGAGGAACTGTAAGCGACACTGTCTCGTGTGTTCCAGGCAATCAGGGCCGAGACCCCTTTGTGAAGGGAAAGGCGTCATCAGATCTGGGAACCGGCCCTTTGTCCAATGCGGGCCACCAGTAGCTCACAGACGCGTTTTTCTTTCTTGACAGATCACATTCTATGTTCTGGTGAAGGCCATTTATACGCTCGGCTACAGTGTCTCTCTGACTTCCCTTACAACCGGAAGCATAATCCTTTGCCTCTTCAGGTAAGTATTGGAGATGAGCAGTCCTGCAGAGTATGAGATGGGAAGTTATCCGCGTAAGCCGTGAGGCCCATCAGAGGAGGAGGGAGACTCACTGCCCCCGAGCCCTCACCGTGTGCTAAGCCGGTCACACTCTCTGGAGAATGCCAGTGTGAAGTATGATGCTGACATGTACGTCTTTGTTTAAATACTCTGCGTTTCTTATGTAAAGAGGTAATACCGACCTTGGATAAGAGTTCAGTCCAACTATTATCTACTAAGTGCTTAGCCATCTTGCAAATGCTTTGAGAGCACAGAGGTGACGTGTTGTTGACGCTGCCATTCAGAAGTGCCTACGTTTGGCCGTCGGTGTCTATTTAGAGACACTGTACTGTGTCCAAGAATATGAAGGCAGGAGTCTGGCTACCTGGGTTCAGTTCCTGGGTCAGTCTCTTAGGAGCTGTGTGACCTTGGACAAATTACTCAGTTTCTCTGTGCATCTGTAAAATGTGGATACTAATGGAACCTACGTGGCATGTGGTAAGCGCTCTTTAAATTTTGCTTGTTTTTCCCCTGGTAATGAGGTTCGAGTCCCCCCACCTGAACCCCTGGGTGGGTCTCTTGGGTGACTAATGACATACATCCTACAGGTGGTTGGTTAGAGGATAGAGGCTTTGGTTCCAGAACAGAAGCTTCTGTCTAGGACAAGCTAATAAGTGTTTTCAGTATTAAATTGTGTCTTAAGCATCACTAGCACTAAATAAAATGGGTGATATCTGGCTTATTTTAACAGGGTTTTGCTCACCACCTATCTTATTTCTCTTTGCTAAAATATAGTTCAAATTTTGGCCAGTATTCAGATAAAATCAATGATATTACAAATGGAATATTTTTAAAACCTAACAACTCATTAAGGGATCCATACTTGGGAGTAAAATAAATGAGTAAAAACTGATGAAGAATATAGCTGAGAAATCCAGCAAATGTAATTGTTATGCTTTCCATTTTTCAGGCATCTCAACTATATCAGGTGGTTGGTAATTCTCAGAAAGAATAAGTCAGTACCTTTAATCCAGAACTGTGCTTTGAAAAATGTCATATTCTAGTTCATTAAAAAAACGCTGGTACAATATTAGTATTTGTTCTTCTATCTTCTGTATTTTACTATATATTTTTAAAACCTCCAAATTGTTAAAGATAAAAAAGGAAGGAAGCGTTCAGGGAGGCAAGCTGGCACAGGGTAGCTTGAACTAGAAAAGCTTCAGCTTCTGTTTACCGAGCTCCTCTGTGGAACCATCCACGTTCTTGATGTCAGCAGTTTCCCTCAGATTTGTGCAGGTGACATATTTAATTAGCCAACCTAATAACATTTTAGAACTATCGTAAATATGGACATGATCCTTTAAGGGAATCTCAAATGGTTTTGTGAGTGTCAAACACAATCTTCTATACATGGACATTGTTAGTCACCTGCTGGTGACACTTCATTTAAAAAGGATGTGTCTGCATTGGGTGTCATCCTGCCGCTGATTCAGTGTGTAACAATTGCTGGAAAAAGCCCAGAGCCCAGAGCTGGCGTACAGTTCTCTGCTCTGCCTTCATCTTGGGCCACCGAAATGCTGTCCGCTTCCCGCCTCCATCTGTCAGATGTGCTTATTTATCCGATGCCAGTTCCCTGGAGAGCTGTGAGAGAGAGTTGATTCTAACATCCATATTATAAAAATAACACGCTCCATTGTCCCAGTGATTACACCCAGGAAACAGAATTGTTTGCAGTCACTGAACATTTATTCCCCATAATAGCCCCATAAGCTAAGAGAGCAGTAAGTGACCGTGTTCTTATTTTAACACCACTTATTTCTTAGACCGGGTCCCAAAGTGCAGGGCCAACTTAGCTGCCGCACACGCCACCTAGTTCTGTGTGGGAGCCGCTGGGCGGTCACCGCGGCCCATCCTCAAGTGCTGATGTGACCCGGGGACCTAACAAAGCAGCTCTAGTCCCCACAAGCCCAGGAAAAACAGCGGTAACTGCTAACACGCTGTGCCCCGCACTTGGTAGGTTTCTGAATTAGTCCCACAGCCTCTCCACCAGGTGAGCGCTGCTGCTGTCCCAGTCTTGCCAGTGAGAGAAAGGGGCCCTGGGAGGGGCCGCCTATGAGCTGGGGAGTGCAGAGCCTGACTCATGACTGCCCGCATGCCGCCGCCTCACCTTGGGAGTTGCTGTGTTCTGACAAGTCCATTTCCAACCATCATTAAGTGGCAGATTCCAGCCTGGCTTATCTGGAAACCACACTCTCAGTTCCATCCATCATCCATTAGTACATCCATACTTGGAAGTGCAGTTTTAAAATGAGCAATGGGTGTTGAAGAACACAGCTAAGAAACTCAGCAAACATGTGTTTGGATGGTCCCTAACTGGAATGCACATGTGCTCATCTCTGAGTGGTGGGGATGAGTCCCAAACCCTGCTCCCTGGAAAGACATGGGCGAGAGGGAGGGAGGAGGACGAAGAAAAGAAGGAAAAGCTGGTGTGGAGAGATGCACGCAGCCCACAGGAGCAGCAGCGGGACCACAGCAGCGTGGGCGTGGGGACCTGTGTCCTGAGAGCGGCCAGGACACGGAGAGCGGGCGGGCACAGCTCCCACCTGGGGTGGGCATGCCTCAGCTCCAGACTGCTCCTGAGGCACCGAGAAAATTCACTTTATATTTAGGATCTTCATCCACTGAGGCTCTGCAGTGGGGTTAAATACAGAAAAGTAAACCTTTCTTAGTGAGGTACGCGTTCTGTGAAGTGGGTGAGTCTTGTATGTTCGAATGACACAACGCCCGGGTCAGGACACAGGACACTGTTAGCACCAGAAGCCGCCCTCATGGAGCTCTGTGTCCACGGCTGCCCACTTCCCAGGAAGGAACCATCATCCAGATTCTGTCACCATAGACGGCTTCGCCTCTGTCTCTGCATGCTCATTCAGCCTTAGGCGGGAAGATCATCAATGTTCTTGTGTGTAGTTATCCTGTTCTCTTTTACTGCCATATGAATGTAGTACAATTGATTTATCCAGTCAACTGTTCACGTATACGGGTGACTCTCAGTTTGGAACCATAACAAGTAATGCTGCCATGAATATTCTCATGGGTTATCTCTTGCACCTATGTACACACTTCTTTAGATATATATGTGTGTGTGTGTTTACACATGTACACATTTATATTTATGTTTATTTCATATTTATATTACATTCACTGGTCATAGGCTATGCGTAGGTTTAGTCTTTCTAGGTAATACCAACTAATTTTCCAAAATATTTGTACCATTGCACATGCCCACCAGCAGTGAATGACATTGCTATTTGCTCTGCATTCTTGCTACCATTTGTTATTGTCAGTTTTTTAAATTTAGCCATCCAGTTGGTCTATAATAATATAGAATTGTGATTTTCGTTTGCATTTCCTTGCTGGATAATGAGGTCATATGTTTGGAAATTATTTTTTTGAAGTAACAGTTCAACTTTGTGCTCATTTTTCTGTTCTGTTGCCTCTCTTTCTTTTTTTTTTTTTTTTTGGTGAGGAAGACTCGCTCTGAGCTAACATAACATCCGTTGCCAATCTTCCTGTTTTTTTTTTTTTTGCTTGAGGAAGATTGGCCCTGAGGTAACATCTGTGCCCATCTTCCTCTATTTTGTATGTGGGATGCCTCCACAGCATGGCTGAGGAGTGGTGTAGGTCCGCGCCTGGGATCCGAACCTGCAGACCTGGGCCGCCGAAGCAGAGCGCAAGGAAATTTAACCCCTTGGCCATGGGGCCAGACCCCTGTCTATTTTTCTTTAAAATGATTTTTAGGAGTCATATAGTGGAGTCTTTTGTCAGATATGGGTATTACCAGTTTTATCTCCAGTTCTGTGGTTTGACTTCATTCTCTTAATGAGTCTTTTGATCAAGAAAAGTTCTTAATTTTAATGACGTCTGTTTATCATTTGTTTTTTATGGTTAGTGCTTCCTGAGTCCTGCTTAAGAACTCTTTGGCGTGTTCTTCTTTGTTATCGCCTAGAAATTTTATTACTTTAACTTTTCATGTTTAGGTTTATGATCCACCTGCAATTTAATTTTGTGTGTGGTGTGAGGTAGGGGTTAAGTTCATTGGTTTGTTTCAGTATGTGTATCCAGTTTACCCAGCGCCACTTACTGAGAAGACCGTCCTTCACCACGGCTTTGCAGAGGCATCTGTGTGACAGTGTCTCCTGGGACTGGACCCTCTGCTCGGTTCTCTTGGCCTCTTGGTCTATGACTGGGCATTTTCATGTTGTTGTAGTTGCCATACCTTTATAATAAGTCTTGATTTCCAGCAGCCTATGTCTGTCAGCTCTTCTTCTTTGTTAGGAAGAGTTTGGCCATTTGTACTTACATGTGAATTTTTTAAAATCAGCTTATCTGTTGCCATTAAATAAAATTCTGCTGGGATTTCATTTTCAGTTGCACTGAATCGATATATCAGCTTGGATGGACTGGATATCTTTATGATTTTGAATCATCCAACCTGTGATCATAGTATATACTTGCATTTGTTTAGTCTTTTTTTCTTTTAATAATTATTTGTGGTTTTCTGAGTAAAAGTCTTGCACATCTTTTGATAGTCATTCCTAGGTATTTGTTTATGCTATTGTATATATTTTGTAAAATTCCATTTCTACTTGTTTCTAGAAAGAGAAATTATTTCTGTGTTAATCTTGCTGCAGCAACCTTGCTAAATTTATTTATGAATTCTATAATTATTCTCTAAATTCATTTGGATTCTTCTATATGCAACTCATGTTTTTGTGAAGCACAGTGTTGAATAGAAGTGGTGACTGGGGACACTTTTTCTCATTTCTGAGCTCAAGGTGAATGCATTCAGTACTTCACTGTAAGTGTGATATTCGCTGTAGATATTTTGAAGATACCCGTTACCAGATTAAGAACATTCCTTTCAATTCCCAGTTTTCTGAGTTTTTAATCACGAATAGGTATTGAATTTTATCATGATTTTTCTGCATATATTGAAATGAGCAGATGGTTTTTACCATTTGTTCATTTAGTATAAAAAATTGCATACATCAGTTTTCTAATATTAAATCTACCTTTCATTCCTAAAATTAACCCTACTTGGTGGTGACATATTATTCTTTTACTATGTAGCTGAGTTTAATTTGCTAATATTTTGTTGAGGATTTTTGCATCTACATCCATGAATTTAATCTATAATTTTCCTTTCTTGTAAAATTAGGCTTTGATATGACAGTTATGCTGGCCCATATGTGAATAAGAAAATGTTCCCTCTTTTCTGTTCTTTGGAATAGTTTGGGTTAGATAAGGCGCTATTTCTTCCTTAATGTTCATACAATTCACCAGTGAAGTCATCTGGGCTGAGAGTTGTCATGGGGAAGATTTATTTTTAGGTTCAAGTTTTTAAAAACAGACGTGATGATACAGATTCTCTGTTTCTTTTTATGTTAATTATAAGTTGTGTTTTTCAAGGAGTCTGTCCATTTCATCTACATTTTCTATATTCTCTTATTATATTTTTAATGTAGGTAAGAGCTATACTGATATCTCCTGTTTCATTCCTGGTATTGGTAATTAGTTTTTCCTTCTTTTTATCTTGATAAATCTTACTGAATAAAGTTTTATCAATTTTATCAGTGTTTTCCTAGAACCAACTTTTGACTTTGTTAGTTTTCTCCCTTGTATGTTTTTTTATTAATTTACTGACTTACCCTCTAATCTTTATTATTTCTTTCTTGCTGCTTTCTCTGGTTTTAATTTGGAGTTCTTTTTCTAGCTTCTGAAGATAGATGTTTACAACATTCATGTTCAGTGTTTTTTTGTTTACAGTGCGTTTATTTATATCTACAAATTTCCCTCTCAGTCCTGCGTTAGTTCCATCTTTCAAGTTTTAAGATGTGTGCGTGTTTCCCATTATCATTTAGTTCTGATTTTTCTAAGCTCTTCTTGTGATTCTTTTTAACTCATCGGCTATAGAAGTCTGTAGCTTAATTTCCAATTAGTTAATTTCCTATTCAGCTCTTTGTCAATGATTTCTAGCTTAACACGTGGTGATCGGAGAGCATTCTACGTGAATTCAATCCTCTGAAATTTGTTGAGACTTGCTTTATGATCCAGAATGTGGTCTGTTTTGGTAAACTTTTCCTTTTCACTTGAAAACAATGTAAATTCTGCAGTTATTGTTTTTTGTGCTATATGTCATTTGCATCGTTTGTCAATCATGTTATTTAAATATTCCAAATCTTTACTGATTGTTTTAACTATTTGTTCTATCAGTTACTGAGAGACATATATTAAAACCTCCAACTGTAGTTGTGGACTTGTCTATTTCTCCTTTTATTTCTTTCACTGTTTACTTTATATATTTTAAGCTTATGTTATTAGGGACATACCAGTTTAATGTTTCATCTTCCTGTTAAAATGTCCATGTTTAGTAATGCCTCTTGTCTTAAAAGTCTACTTTGATATTAATATAGTTCTGTTAGCTTTCTTTTCTTTGATATTTGCAAAGTATGTTGTTTCCTATGCTTTCGCTTTGAACTTCCATGTTTTATACTTAATTTGGGTGTCTTATAAGCTCCACTTAATTGGGATTTGCTTTTTATTTCCACTGTCGTTTTATTTTTACACGCAGTGTTTTTACACTCACAGTTAGACTGCTGACTCACAGCTTGGAGTTTTATTCCGCCTTCTGTCTCTGCTTTCTGTTGTCTCAGCTCTGCTTTATCGCTTCTGCACTCGTTTTGTGTTTATTTTTAATGGATCAAGTATTTTTATTATTCCCCTTTTCCCCTTCTGGATCGTTGGTGATACATTCTGTTGTTCTTCTCCTGGTTGTCACCCCAGATTTACAGTGTGCATGCTTGTGTTACAGAAGTTAACCTCCAGTGACTGTTTTTCCACTTCCAGTCAATGCAAGGACCTGACCGCATTTTAATTCCGTTTACCCCCTCATGCCTTTTGTGTTATTGTTATGTATTTTAATTCTACATATAAATTACACAAGACATAATTATTATTGTTGTTGTTTTAAAAGTCAGCATTTATTTAGAGTGACGGGTATATTTATCTTTCCTGGTGCTCATCATTCTGCCTGTGTTTTCGTGTTTCCACCTAGGATCATTTTCTTACTGCCTGAAGATCAGCCTTTGGTGTTTGTTTCAGCACAGGCCTACTGGCAGTGCGTTGTCCTGGTTTTTGATTGCCTGAAATCATCTTAATTTTGCCTTCATTGTTGAGGACATTTTTGGGAGTATTGAATTCTTTGTTGGCAGGTTTTTTCTTCCATCGCACTAAAGATGGGCATCTTCACTTCCTTCAGGAAGTCAGCTGCCAGTCTCACCATTGTTCCATTGAAGGAATGCACTTTTTCTCTGGGGGAGTGGAAGATTTTGTTTTCCTTTCTCTTCAATTTTCTGCAATTACACTGTCATGGGAATTAATGTGGTTTTCTCTATTTCTTCTTCTTGGTGTTAATGGAGTTTCTTTAATCTGTTATTGCATTTTATCAGTTTCAAAAAATCCTTGGCCAGTATCTCCTCAAACATCTCTTTTACCTTAATTCTCTCTCCTCTGAAATTCCTTTTTCATAGATGGTCAAAGTTCTCACCATTTCCCATATATTTCCTACTATTTTTATATCTTTTCCACTATTTTCTCTCTACTTTAATCGAGACATATTCTACTGATCAGTTTTCCAATTCATAATACTCTCATTCACTGTGTCTAATCTAATGTTAGACCCAGCTATTTAATTCTTAATTTCAGGATTCTTTCTAAGTTTTCAAATTTTCATTTGATTTTTATAATAAATTCCATTCTCTAATAAAATTCTCCATCTCTTCATCCATTTTCTTATTTTCTTGAACATATTAATCAGAGTAATTTTACAGTGTATGTCTTAGAATGCCAGTATCTGGGATCTCTTTCTGTTGTTTTTTTTTTTTTTTTTTTTTCCTTTTTAGCTGCATTTGGTCATTTGGTCTTATTTCTGGCATACCTAGTAAGTTTTTACTGAAATTACAAATAATTAAATTGTAGAGGCTTTGGGTGATATCTTACTCCAGAAAGGATTTAATTTTTTCTAGCATGATGGGCAGAATACCCTGAGCCATCGGGGGTTGAATTGATTGGAGGCTGCGCTTCAGGCTTGGTGGAGGCTGGCTTGTTTCTGGTTCCTCATTATTCCTGGGTCATAGCTCTTTAGGGGTTTTGAATGAAAGCCTGGGACTCGCTGTACTCTTGCAGACCCTGAATTTCAATTTTTGTCACTCAATATGTGAGGTTGCTAAAATTTCTTCCAAGCATTTTACTTTCTTAGCCATTGCTTTTTGCTTCACTTCCAGCCTCTCACCCAGCACATGAACACCTTGGGAATGAAAAAAAAAGGAAAGCCTGAGTAGGTAATTCTTGCTGAATTTTAGACTCTTTTCCCTGTGTTTTCCTTTTCTCCAGAATCATTGCTCCTCACGTCTGTTACCTTGAAAGCCCTTAACTTCGTTTGTTTCCATTCCGTCCAGTGACACTGTTACAGGCTGTAGGCTTCTGCTTTCTAAATGGCCGCTATGCCCTGAGACACGAGTCAGCCAACAGCCCGAGGAGACAAGAGGAGGCGCGGTGGACGGAGGACGCATCTTCCTGCTTTTCCCTTCTCGCCAGGGTCTTGGTCCTTCAAGTCTTAGCTGCTTTGGCTGCTCTCAAAGCCCTTAGACGACTTTTTACACTTCGTTGGCCCCTTAGTGGGAGGGTTGTCAGATAGGCTTCTCCTCCGTAGCCACCAGTAGAAGTCCACTTTAGTGTATATTTTTTAATGATTTTCAGAATTTTTAAACTTTATATAAACCTAAAAAGTTAATGTTTGATGATCTCAGAAGTGCATTTATGTGGAACAGCTTGTTTCCTGATGACTCTAAACAACTAAAAGTCACATCAAATATGCAATTAAGTCTTCTCCAAAGCAGAATTTAAGTGTTAAAAGAGAATTAGAAACAAAATGTTCTGAGCATTTTTTAGAGAAGCAGGACGTCACATAAAGTAGGTTCACAGACAGGTCATTTGATGTGGGTCTTGCAGAGACAGCTCGGTCTTCCCGTCCAGGGTGGGCCCGTGCCACTGCAGGCTCAGGGCCTAGCGCAGCTTTGCCTTATGTGTTTATCCCGAAATCCTGTTTCTGGGACTCCAGCCTAAGGAGATAGTCAGAAATAGGGGAAAGACTCAGAAACAAAATGTTTATCATAATGCAAAACTGAAAACATCCTAAACGTACAATCAGCAATAAATGACTAACTCCATAAAAAAGAAGAAAGCTTTAAGATTAAAGCCACATAGGCAGTTATTAAAGTG